TTATTTCTTACTAGAAATTGATAGGGTATCATCATAGGGGAATAGTTTATTTCTTACTAGAAATTGAAAGGGTATCATCATAGGGGAATAGTTTATTTCTTACTAGAAATTGATAGGGTATCATCATAGGGGAATAGTTTATTTCTTACTAGAAATTGATAGGGTATCATCATAGGGGAATAGTTCATTTCTCACTAGAAATTGACAGGGTATCACCATAGGGGAATAGTTTATTTCTTACTAGAAATTGACAGGGTATCACCATAGGGGAATAGTTTATTTCTTACTAGAAATTGACAGGGTATCATCATAGGGGAATAGTTTATTTCTTACTAAAAATTGAAAGGGTATCATCATAGGGGAATAGTTTATTTCTTACTAGAAATTGAAAGGGTATCATCATAGGGGAATAGTTTATTTCTTACTAGAAATTGATAGGGTATCATCATAGGGGAATAGTTTATTTCTTACTAGAAATTGACAGGGTATCATCATAGGGTAATAGTTTATTTCTTACTATAAATTGAAAGGGTATCATCATAGGGGAATAGTTTATTTCTTACTAGAAATTGACAGGGTATCATCATAGGGGAATAGTTTATTTCTTACTAGAAATTGAAAGGGTATCATCATAGGGGAATAGTTTATTTCTTACTAGAAATTGAGAGGGTATCATCATAGGGGAATAGTTTATTTCTTACTAGAAATTGATAGGGTATCATAGGGGAATAGTTTATTTCTTACTAGAAATTGATAGGGTATCATCATAGGGGAATAGTTTATTTCTTACTAGAAATTGACAGGGTATCATTATAGGCGAATAGTTTATTTCTTACTAGAAATTGAAAGGGTATCATCATAGGGGAATAGTTCATTTCTCACTAGAAATTGACAGGGTATCATTATAGGGGAATAGTTTATTTCTTACTAGAAATTGATAGGGTATCATCATAGGCGAATAGTTTATTTCTTACTAGAAATTGATAGGGTATCATCATAGGGGAATAGTTTATTTCTTACTAGAAATTGATAGGGTATCATCATAGGGGAATAGTTTATTTCTTACTAGAAATTGATAGGGTATCATCATAGGGGAATAGTTCATTTCTCACTAGAAATTGACAGGGTATCACCATAGGGGAATAGTTTATTTCTTACTAGAAATTGACAGGGTATCACCATAGGGGAATAGTTTATTTCTTACTAGAAATTGACAGGGTATCATCATAGGGGAATAGTTTATTTCTTAGTAAAAATTGAAAGGGTATCATCATAGGGGAATAGTTTATTTCTTACTAGAAATTGAAAGGGTATCATCATAGGGGAATAGTTTATTTCTTACTAGAAATTGATAGGGTATCATCATAGGGGAATAGTTTATTTATTACTAGAAATTGACAGGGTATCATCATAGGGGAATAGTTTATTTCTTACTAGAACATTGACAGGGTATCATCATAGGGTAATAGTTTATTTCTTACTAGAAATTGACAGGGTATCATCATAGGGGAATAGTTTATTTCTTACTAGAAATTGACAGGGTATCATCATAGGGGAATAGTTTATTTCTTACTAGAAATTGACAGGGTATCATCATAGGGGAATAGTTTATTTCTTACTAGAAATTGACAGGGTATCATCATAGGGGAATAGTTTATTTCTTACTGGAACACTGATAAAGAATGGTTCTTTTCTCTAAAGAAATTAATAAGGTATCATCAAAGTGAAATTCCAAAACATGAAATATGAAAAGAGTACCTAAAGACTGTAATCTTTTAGCCACTGCTGCAGCGAATCTTCTTTCACCACCTAAATCTGTTGTTAACAACTTATATAAGGGACCACTGAAATAATATAGAACAGTGAAGTCATTTCAAACATTTGCAAATTGATAAATGCTAGTATATATACAGACCTTAAGTCTGAATTTTTTTCATTCCTTGGGCTTTAAATACTCCATATAGTTTATATCATTTCATATTAGCCTAGTTTTTTTTAGAGTAAACTATCAACATTACCTTGATTGATTAGATCTATGGGAGCGTCCCAGTTGTTGAACAGCTTTATCAGCACTCCATGGTAATTCAACTGTTAAATGTATTCTACGTCTCTTATTAGCTACACGAAGATCAGCATGTAGAGATATTCCTAAAAGATTTTAAATAAAGAATGTTAATGGAAATTTTCAAATATAATTTTGCTTCCAGGTAAAGGAATATTTATATAATGGTGCTCACTTTATTGGTAAATATTGCATTTTATAATATTAAGAAAAGGATGTCAGTAAAGACAGACAGTACACTTTATTGGATTGCAAGGTTACCTGCACATTGCATTATTTCTAAATGAGTTAGTTAAACAAATAATTAGACTACTATGTCCTATAGTTTACTACAAGATTGTATTAGTAAATTCTAGAATATTAATTGTCTTTACTATCTGTAAAAATATCTATACTCTTACCTGTACTTGCAGCATCTGATATAATAGCAATTAATTTCTTTCCTTCCATAAACATATTTCTCTACAATCAACAAGGGATATAAACAGCATAGGGTTCAATTACAAATAATTATCATGCTAAATATACAATTAAAATTTGATTCACAGATTAATAAATATTTTAGTTTTGTGAAATTGCAATTTTGTGATGTTTCATGATTTAATATGAAATGAATAAGAGTAAAAAATTAAGAGCCTTGATTAAAACATTTTATGGAATAGAAATAAAAAGCATCCTCTTTTTTTTTTTTACCTCTTTGACATTAAGACTTTCTACACCAATATCTGACTCGGACCCTCTCTGTTCATATTGTGGTGTACTAGTCGGTGTTTTTCTTACAATTCTACCTTTTCTTCCAGTCATTTCAGCTACTTTATCAGGTCCACCTAATTGATCTATTATTTCATCTAATGGACTAAAAATGACATTATAAGACCTCAGTATTAGTTAAAAAGTTTTACAAGTTAAAAAAGTTACAGCCATAACAATATTCAAAGATATGGGCAATAACTCATTCTAATAATTTCAACCACTTGAAATATTGTTTATATATCAGATAAAAGTTTGAATTCATACAAGATTATATTTTATCTCTCAACATTCACAATATAAAATAATAAATTATTCTGGTGCCAAATAAAACTTATAAATAATTTAGATTGATTAATTTATTATTTTATAAGAATGGAAAGAACTTGTTATTCATATTCGCCTTTAATCATCATTTATATAAATACTTCACCCCTCAGATTGAAAACTATACACTTTCTAATATCACAGAAATAAATAGTTCATTTCTCACTAGAAATTGATAGGGTATCATCATAGGGGAATAGTTTATTTCTTACTAGAAATTGATAGGGTATCATAGGGGAATAGTTTATTTCTTACTAGAAATTGATAGGGTATCATTATAGGGGAATAGTTTATTTCTTACTAAATATTGACAGGGTATCATCATAGGGGAATAGTTTATTTCTTACTAGAAATTGACAGGGTATCATCATAGGAGAATAGTTTATTTCTTACTAGAAATTGATAGGGTATCATCATAGGGGAATAGTTTATTTCTTACTAGAAATTGATAGGGTATCATCATAGGGGAATAGTTTATTTCTTACTAGAAATTGATAGGGTATCATCATAGGGGAATAGTTTATTTCTTACTAGAAATTAACAGGGTATCATCATAGGAGAATAGTTTATTTCTTACTAAAAATTGACAGGGTATCATCATAGGGCAAATTGATAGGGTATCAAAAATTGACAGGGTATCATCATGGGGTAAATTGACAGGGTATCATCATAGGGTAAATTGACAGGGTATCATCATAGGGCAAATTGATAGGATTTCATCATAGGGTAAATTGACAGGGTATCATCATAGGGCAAATTGATAGCGTATCATCATAGGGTAAATTGATAGGGTATCATCATAGGGTAAATTGATAGTGTATCATCATAGGGTAAATTGATAGGGTATCATCATGGGGCAAATTGATAGGGTATCATATGGGGAAAATTGTAGAGTATTATCATGAGGAAAATTGGTAGGGTATTATCATGGTGAAAATTGGTAGGGTATCGTCATGGGGCAAATTGATAGGGTAGCATCAAAGGGCAAATTGATAGGGTATCATCATAGGATAAATTGATGGGATTTCATCATAGGGCAAGTTGATAGGGTATCATCATAGGGTAAATTGATAGGGTATCATCATAGGGTAAATTGATAGGGTATTATAAGGTAAATTGATAGGGTACATTGATAGGGTATCATCATACGGCAAATTGACAGGGTATCAAAAATTGACAGGGTATCATCATGGGGTAAATTGACAGGGTATCATCATAGGGTAAATTGACAGCAAATCATCATAGGGCAAATTGACAGGGTATCCAAAATTGACAGGGTATCATCATAGGGCTAATTGACAGGGTATCATCATAGGGTAAATTGATAGGGTATCATCATAGGGTAAATTGATAGGATTTCATCATAGGGCAACTTGATAGGATTTCATCATAGGGTAAATTGATAGGGTATCATCATAGGGTAAAATGATAGGGTATCATCATAGGGTAAATTGATAGGACTTCATCATAGGGTAAATTGATAGTGTATCATCATGGGGCAAATTGATAGGGTATCATATGGGGAAAATTGGTAGAGTATCATCATGAGGAAAATTGGTAGGGTATTATCATGGTGAAAATTGGTAGGGTATCGTCATGGGGCAAATTGATAGGGTAGCATCAAAGGGCAAATTGTTAGGGTATCACATTACCTGTTAGGCAACTTAATTTTAATAGCAAAATTTTTTAACATATTACAGGCTGTTACACTCCAACTATCTTCTAGTGGTCCTTCATCTGGCTGTAAATAATATATAATTCATATGGATAGAAAAAATGAAATGAATGGAGTTTTACGTCCTACTTTTCTGCACCTTGTGGGCTATCATATGGATTGAGACATTTCATTTTACAACATGAGAGAAAAAAGCATTGCGACTATCAGTTTATTTCAAACACATCATAAATGCAGTGACAGAATCATGTATTGACCTGCAACTGATTGAAACTTTATTTCTTTTTAAATTCTCTAAATCGGACCACAGGCTTTTTTAGCCATTCTGTCATACCTGTATATCATATCTATTTAATGACAAACAATCAGTACTTACTGGTTTTTCAAATTTGGTAGGAAAATAATTATTGATAAATGACAATAATATTTCACGACATAATGATACAAAATTACTGATATTTCCTTTAGATCGACTTAATTCACTCACTAACGATGCCTAAAATAAAGAGATATATATGTATAAGTAATCAAATGACTATGACTAGGTTTTTTTATAATTTTTATAATTAATCTAACAAAAATGTTAGTTAGAAGATAAATAAGTGTATGAAAAATAATCATTAATGTTCAGGATATATAACCATAACTAAACTAGTACCTCTCCTGTAGTCTGTAGACCAATAACTATACTGAAACCATTCTCTAAACCTTCTAATGCTTCTTTAACTATAGTAGGTACTTTCATACCCATGCTAAAATAACAAGATTATGAATCCATTGGCATGCTTTCTTCATTGGGATACCAGAAAATAAGTGCCTGTGCCTTTTGACACCATAACCATGCACTTTTCCCACTGTACATTTACATCATTAAATCAAATTCATATCACCATCAATTGAGTTAAATATCTCAAAATCAAGGATTTTCATAATGAAACATAGGCATATTGAATAAACTGAACAGCACCATATAATATCACTAACCATAGTTGTTTAAAGAATCTTTGATGAGCAGACCAAAATTGTGCCCAAATTCTGTTATTACTACAGCTAGTTCTAGCCACAGCACTCTCTAATGATTTACGTAATTCATTCCTGAAATAAAATATAATAATCTTATAAATTCAACATGATCCTAGCGTCTTCTATGCAAACTAGATAAAAATCAACTGTGAAATCAGCATGAAACAGTGGCTGAGAGTTTAAGTTTGTATTCTTATTTTCTTGTCTCTTAAGATAACATAATGATCAGTAAATTGTATGATTATTAAAAGAAATACCTACCATACATGAGCAGCAGTATTAAACATTTTCTTTTGTTCTTTATCTATAATAGCTTCTACTGTTACAAACTAAAATCAATGATATTTAAAAGAAGTTGATAGAACTCAATTTCAGCTTGCCATATCACTACAAGAAGGTCACATCAATTCAAGAAGGTAATCACAAAAACATTGTCAAAATATCACCATGGTGATTAGCTGTTACTGCAAGTTAGAATGTTTATATGATCTTGGAGTAACAATTGTTAGTTTCTTGTGGCTTTTGACTGCTTCATGATTGAAAATTGATGTTTCCAATGAATGTAATTGTAAACCATAGTATATCAAAATCTAAGAAAATAACTAACCTCAGCTTGTTTAAATGATAGACCTCTAGATACATACATTCCTGTAGTTTTCATTTCCATAGCCAACATTTCAGCAATACCTATCATTAACATAATAAACTAGAGCCACACGTGGCACAGAGTGGGACTTTGCAAATGTAGCAAATTGCAAAAGACTCTGAAATAATCAACCTTCTACGATAATTATATCACGCGCAAGAGCAGTCTAAAGTTGAGAAGAATTCTTTGGAAGATTGTTATAACGGAAGTAGACAGGCCTCCCAAATGCAAGTATCAGAAGATAGCCAAGGTCAATGACATTTGACATTGAAAGGGAGAGGGTCAACAAAGGTCAAGGTTACGAGATACAAGTCATCAAAATTTTTAAATATATACGGCTATAAAACCAGAAGTTGAGATAGGACAGCAAATATAAAAGTATAAATAGATAGCCAATGTGAATGACCTTTGATCCTACAAAAATCAGGGTCAAAAAAGGTCAAGGTCAAAAATTGAAAATTTAGAATTTTCAAAACCTGTTCCTTTTTTTGAACTATAAAGCTGAAACAATCGAACTTCTAAGACAATGTGGCTCAACGAATGTAGTAATTGTATGCAAAGTTCCATTTTGAACAAATGTATACGTTAAGTTAAGTCCCTTGTCAAAATTGTCAATAATGAGTAATTTAACCCGGATGTGCTACGCCCACCTCAATTTCTTTTGCATAGGTTAATTGATATTCTGAATGTTATGCTGTGTCCCAAATTTAAAGCTTCTACATCATACAGGTCAAAAGATATAGGTCAACAAGAGTCAATAAAGGTAAAATTGGAAAATTGAAAATATGGAAATTTCAAAACCCGTTCCTTTTTTGGAACTATAAAGCTGAAACAATTGACCTATTAACACAAACTGGCCAAAATAATGACGTAATTGTGTGCAAAGTTCCTTTTTGAACAAAGGTATCCTATGCGAGTTATGCCCCTTTCCCAAAATGTAAACAATTAGTAATTCAACCCGGATGTGCCACGCCCACCTCAACTTTTTTGTCATAGGTTAATTCATATTCAAATTGTCTTGTTGTGTTCCAAGTTTCAATGTTCTACATAAAATAGGTCATAAGATATATACACACCAAGCTCAAAAGAAACAGAAATATTGTAAAACAAAACTCAAATTTGAAAAATTCAAGAATTTCAATTTTGCTTTAAAAAACGATTGTTATAAATCACTTGAAAGAGCATGAAAAAGCACATTAAGAATCCGAAAATATTAACCCTCTAGGTTAATTAGGTCACGTGCTAGAGCAGTCCAAAGTTGCCAATTTGGCTGTTTTCGGACAGCTATAAAACCGGAAGTACATGTCGGAGGTCAAATGTCAAAGTATTAACTGATAGCTAAGGTCAATGACCTTCAAGATCACGAGATATGACCCTTCAAACTTTGAAAAAATTCAACCGGATGTTGCAAAAAAGCAAACTTGAGAATCGAAAAACGGCTTCCTAATGTCATGTTTTTTTTTATCTTCTTTCATTTGACACCAAAATCATTGAAATCGGATGAGCCATTATGTCCGAATAAAAATCGAATCATTTCAGAAAGATCAAAATGGCGGCCAAAGTTTCACGTCTGTTCTGGATTTTTTTTTCTTCGTTTTTTTGTCATAACTTTGTCTACCTATCAGCATAAAATTTTTTGTCCTATACAAATTACACCGGAAGATACTCAACCGGAAGTGAACATCGATTTCCTGTTTAAACCGGAAGTGAAATTGAAAATTTGACTGTACCATTTTGTTTACTTTCTTAAACTGTCTTTGCTCAATTTTTTTCAGATAAATCAGACAAAAAGCAAAAAAAATGCAAAATTTGGCAAAAAAAATGTCTGCGACAAATTTTCGAATTTGGAAATTTTGAAACTGCTATTCTTTCAGATTTTAACAGTAGATTCCAAAAATTCTAACCCAAAGAAAATCGACCGAAAAATACGACTTCTAGAGCCGATTATCTATTCTTGCACATATTGAACTGTGGCACTTCCGGTTTTGCAAAAAAGATCCAAAATATATTTATGCACATCGTCGCCTATATCTAAGGTTCGTGAATGTTGAATGGTTGCTGCAACTATTGTAGTCTAAGCTCAGGAAGGTGTGTAAAAATCGAAAAAAAAAAAAAAAAAAAAAAAAAAGAATTGACATTTCGATAACAAACTGGGACTTTGCAGTAGCAAAGTCCCACAATATCAACAAATAATGTCTATAACAAAGATTATGCTTTTGTTTAGATAATGATCTGTACACAGTGGTGGGACTTTAAAAGCAATATAATCTACATACATGGGTGAAATACTGAATGTGAAAAACATCACAAAAAGCAAAATCATTACCAATTATTCTCTATTGAGATATTTTGTGTGCTATTTCTGAATATCTTTTAAATGTTTCCAAAAAGTAATTACTCTTACCTAATCCTTTTTTCTGTACAGAATCTAAAAATTGCTCAAATGACTTAAAAGGAGCACCATCTCCCCACAGACCAAGTCTTTCCATAAAGGCCTGAAAAATTATTTCAAACATAACAGACATATGTTTTAATTTAAAGAAAATGCAGTTGAACAGTTAATCAAATTATATTATAACAAGAATTTTACATTGATCTGAATATATAAAAATATTGATAGATGCAAAGCTAATTCAGAGATTGAAAAGAACCTACCATATTTTTAACATCAGTTACACCTGTAGCACTACAATATACAACTCTTGCTTTAGGTAATAATCTATAAAATATACACCATATATAATTAGTCTTACAGAAAGAAAATGGTTGCCTAGGGCTTTGCAACAAAAGAACAGTCACAGGAATCATAGTTTTTAGCTATCCTGTTCAAGATATTTTTGAAATAATAGCACTTTCTCTGACCTGACAACCCTATTCTCATCAATTATCCACTGATCAGAAAGAGAAATCACCTTGTTACCACTCACTGATAGAAAACCTTGTCTCAAATTAACCTGAAGAAAAATTTCTTCAATTTCTTATTCAAAAATGATAACAAAACCTACTTTTGAATGGTGGTTACTGCAATGGCTATTTTAGTGCTAGCGGTTTCTTTATTCTTAAAAAAAACAAGACAAAATTGCTTACTTAAATAATAAAATACAAATCTATTTTTGTGACAGAAAACATTTTTCATAACTAATGACTCAAGATTTGAAACAAAATTTCTCATTATTAACAACCCCTGAAAATGAAGATTGTGTATTCGAAACATGTGGCAGCAGAATTCTATAGTCAATTGGATTTAATCAAAAAGAATGTCTGAAACTTACAGGAATAAAGTTTTTAGCTTTATGACATTCATCAAATACCAAACAACCTTCAAACTTCTCACCACCACACCAATCTATTAACTGTTGTAATCTACTTTGGCGACTTGAATTTAGAGAACCTGAAATTATCTATGAAAATATTATGCGGCAAAAATCATCAAATTGGAATCTCTAAAGAAAATTCCCAAACCAAGATCAACTTTAAGTATAATGAAATTTCACATCTGACAACCAAATACTTTTCAACTTCAAGATCCCAGAGTAGAGTCAATGACAGAATGAAACAGCAATACAAACTTCAAAGGTATTCTCTTGTCTTATACAAGAATGAATCCCAAACATCTCTTACGAAGCAAGATATTATCTTACACAGCCAAGCTGCTTCCACGGAACTTCAAGCATAACCAAAGTCTACAGATTTGTATCCAAATGAAAACATTTGGCAGTAACAATTAGCATTAGGATATTTTCATAGGAATCAAATAGTCATACCTCCTCTTTGTACAGAAGACACTAATGTAGCATATGTACTAAAAACAACACCTTCTTTAAAATCAGTAGGTAGACCCAACACTCTAAATAAATGATAATCATTATATAAGATAAAGGTTTAAATAGACTTGATTTAATAAGACTGCTGTTATACACGCATAGCAAGTTGAATTAAAATTGGGTGTGACATGCAGTGACATCATTAGGATGAGGCTGTGATTTGTATTAAATATGGTTGCTGTACCTTGTTTCTCTGTCTAATTCTTGACATCCATCAATAACTTTAACATGACATCCTAAATCCTGTAAATCTCTACAAATAAAAAACATTTTCTATCAAAATATTGTTACTTCATAACAATGGTAATGGTTAAACTTATGGTTAAAATCTTTTAAACTGGATTGTGATTTAGGAAGCAGGTATCTTTATACATTTTTAGTACTTTACCAAATCATAATTAATATTTACAAGACATCCCATTTAACTTACCTCCTAGAATCAACTATAAGATCTGTAGAAATTGTAAACCATATATTTTTAGTTCTTCCTCGAACAAAATTATCAAATATAATTCCTGATATCTACAATCAATCCAAAAAATTATTTGATATAATTATAGCTGCTCCAATGTCTTTTTCATGAAAAGTTGTTGGTATGTTTATTCAGAATATCAACATTGGCTTATTGTCACCTTGTTTTTGTTCACATAAGGAAGTTACATTGGACTTTTAATTGGAATGGTTCAGGTCTGTGTAACGATATGGTATATTAGTGTGTAGATATACAAGGACAGCACCTGTATAGGAAATTCAACAAAATAGTACTTACCTGTCTACCTTTACCAACACCAGCACCATCACCAATAAAAAATCCAGCTCTTTGTCCATTAGGTAATAATACTTGATGTCTTTGACACTAGAAGTAAATAGAACTCTTTTGATATCCAGTTACATGTATAACTCTCAGTCATGTTGAAAATGTTATATCACCCTCCAATACTATAGTTTACATAGATGTTTCTTAAGAAGTATTCTGCTAGGAATATGAGCCTATTCCTTGGAATATTTTGAAATATAAGCTTATATAATAGTTTAAAAGCTTAGTTAAACAGGTTATTGTAAAAAAAATGTAAATTTCTAAAAAGTTATACACATTCATCAACAAATGAAATATAAAACAATTATTACTCTCTTCTTAAGAATGATTTTACGATGGTAACAGATATTTGATATACCAGTGTACCAAACTAATTTATATTATATTGAAGCGGGTATATAATATCCCTTTAACTAAATACATAAAAGGGTTTAAATTTATCCATTATCACAACTCAATCAAATTATAAACTACTTACAGCATGTATAACTCCCTCTAATTGTAAACTACTTAATTTTCCTTCTAGTATTATTTCTTTAGGTAAACTATCACAGATAGGATAATATTCACTGGGTAGAGATAAAGCCTGTAAATAAATAACAATAGTTTAAAGAAAAATCATACACTCATTCCTGTCAACATTTCACAAGATCCAAACAATACATCAATATCATAGAAACTACATTACAGTGACACTTGTTGACATATCAGCCAGAAACAATTAGTTTATACTTACAGCAAGAGGTCCAGCCTCTACTATATCACCAGGATGAGGTTTACATCCAGCTACTACTTCTCTATGTTTATATGAACAAAATACTTCTTCACTGTAAAGATATACTAACAATAAATAAATACAGCTTACTTTTAACCTCGCATGCTTTTTATTTAGTATTGGGAAGATTTCTCAGTTATTTAGATCAATAGATTCTTGATCTTTAGCCTGCCCTTTAGCCCTCGATAATCAATCTCATATTGGTAATCCATACCTAGCTCTAGAAAGTAGGCCTTAATTCAAACATCATAATCAATTTCATAGCAAATCTTATGTAACAATTTTCTTGCAAGCCCAAATCATTCATATATCTATTGAAAACAAATGAATCTGTCATACCATACACTTTCTTGTAATCCTTCATTAGCAATACGTCCTGTATCATCAACCTCAACTGGTGGTGGTTTACTATCACTAGGCTTTTTAATCAGACCATTATATTGGTCAGTCTGTAAGGACAGGTCTAATATATTTTGTAATATTGGATGTAATGGTTGATTAGACAAATAGGCTGCATGAGAAACATCCATCATATAGTTGTTCGATTCTGCAATTTTAAAAATTCATGGTACCGGTACCGGTACAGTACAATATTTCACTTCCAAGATACAGAACTAAAAATTTGTACTCTGGTTTGACTAAAAGCACCAAGACAAAGGTTCTTCTCCCTTGTGCGGTTGAGGCTAGAAATCTCCATACTGCCACTGGTACTCAAAACAATAAACTATTACTAATAGGATTGGCCTTATAATGACCAACAAGTCACAAGCTTCAAGTGCCATATATTAACTGCATTTCCACTGAGAATTGTAAAGTAAAGCTAGCTTTACTGCCGAGCATGTTGCGTTTAAACTGAGTTTAACTGGTTCCCGAAAGACTTAAGCCTCGATCACAAAGTCACACATTGACAACTCATGATTTACAATACTACTGTTTAGATGCAATAGACTGGAAAGACCAGTATGCCGCCTATTGCCGAACGAGATAACGCTGGCTTTTTGCGTTTCATTGATTATGAGAAAGCTTTCGGTTAGCCCCTGACACAAAAAAGAGAGGTTTTCGGTTTCCAATTTTCCCAGTGGAAACATACGCAGCTTAAAGCTGGTTTTTTCCCTCAGTGGAAACACAGTTATAATTAGAACTAGAACTGTACTAATAACAGTACTGATGCAGGGCGTGTTACGACATTCAGGTACATACGAAGTTGGTCTATTGCAATTACATGGATGTAAGAACTTTTCTGCATCTCTAAATGCAAATATCCAAAAGTGCCTGGAGTTGACGAACTTTCTGATATTGGGGAGAATGATACTTTAACGGACATGTCAAACTCAGGAAGTTTATCTATACTGACATCTCATTAACCAACTTAAATTTGATACCACAATGTTAAATGAATATAATTTTTAAATATGCATGTTACATAGACATGTTGTATATCACTGGAAAGCTCAGAATCTCAGCATTATGAATTCGAAAGAATTATTGCTATATCACTGTTAGGCTACGAGATACAGCACTGCAAAGGTTCAAAATGGACCATTTTTAAACCCCTATAAAATCGAAAATGGTTGTCTGACCACAAAGGTCAAAAGGTCATCAGATATTCAAGGTCACAATTTATCATCATAGTAAATATGAAGGTCACCAAAGGTCAAGGTCATGAGATATACGCCTTCAAACTTTAAAAAAAAATATCCGGTCGTACAAAAAAGGCAAAACCGAAAATCAAAATTCGGTCCTCAACAAGTTTTAGACAAACGTTAATTCTATCATTTAACACCAAAATTGTTCAAATCGGATAATAAATAGCTCCAAAATAGCAAGTTTTGCATATTGAGGCAAACCAATATGGTGACCTATATGTTACTTCCGGTACGATATTTTTTAGTTGTAACACTTTGTATTAGTGACACTAAGCTTATGCATATGTCGTTTCTGACATAACTCAATTTCACCGGAAGTGATGCCACCGGAAGTACTAATATCAAAACCGGAAGTGATAAACATTTTTTGACTATGCAGAATTATTTGCCCATACCGACGGTCTATGTCATAAAAATTTCAAATCGATCCGTCAAAAAGCAACCGAAATAGCATTTTTCGATTAATTTCCACAAAAAAAAGTATCGAACGAATTTTGGAAAATCGAATATTTTCAACTGCTGTCATATGCCCTTTGTACCAAGAATTATAATAAAGGAAACCGAGAAAAATCGAACGATAAATACGCCCTCTACAGTCCATTTCCGGTTTTTTGCTATCTCACTTCCGGTTACGCAGAACATTTTCGTTTTACATTTAATACGTGAATAGCCACGAGTTAGAAAACGTCATGAAGTCCGTTTTGTCATACCTATTTCTGGTTCCGAGAAATAAGCTCCCTAGCTGACGAAAAAAAAAATAATCGTTACGAAAACGAACGCCCTGCAACTAGAACTGTTCTAATAACAGTACTGATGCAGGGCGGGTTACGACATTCAGGTACATACGAAGATGGTCTATTGCAATTACTTTATGTAAATACTTTTCTGCATCTCTAAATGCAAATATCCAAAAGTGCCTGGAGTTTAAAGTATATTTACTAGGAATAAAAGAATATTTGTCAATTAATTAAGAATAAGTTTGATGAAATCCGGATAAGAAATAAGAAAGTTGGTAATGCGCATGCGCTCAACAAAAATTCAAAATTTCCATCAAATTTAGAATTGGATTATACAAATACATACCAAGTTTGGTGAAATTTGGATAAAAATATAAGAAAGTTGGGAAATTAAGTGGGGGTATGCCTTTAATGTGCTTCTATAAGCTTTACTTACAGTATAACAAGGTTCAATCCATCCTAGAACCTATTTATATAGCTTAAATGGACACAAAACATTTTAAAGAAATATAAAAGGGAGGGTGTCTTTAAAACTACTTAAACTTTGATTTATATTGGGGTTGACAGCGGGGTTAATCTAATTAGCCGATTTATCTAATAATAGTCCCATGTTAAGTGAATGAGGTTTTGAATTTGCATGTAAGGCATGCATGTTTTATATCATTGGAAAGCTCAGAATCTCTACATTACAAAATCGAAAGAATTATCGCCATATCTCTATTAGGGACCGAGATATAGCACTGCAAAGACTCAAAATGGTCCGTTTTTAGACCCCTGTAAAATCGGAAAGAGTTGTCTGACCCCAAAGGTCAAAAGGTCATCAGATAGACAAAGTCACAAATTATCATCATAGTAAATATGAAGGTCATCAAAGGTCAAGGTCATGAGATATACGAGTTCAAACTTTGAAAAAAAACATCCGGTCGTACAAAAAAGGCAAAACCGAAAATCAAAATTATGCTGCTTAAGGATTGTAGAAGGACATTAAACGTATCGTTTGACACAAAAATTACGAAAATCGGATGAAAAATGGTCTCTGAATAGCAATTTCTGCAAAATGAGGCAAACCAAAATGGCGGCCAACATGTTACTTCCGGTGCGGATTTTTTTAGTTTAATAAGTTTGTATTAAGACTGGTAATATAATGCATATGTTATTTTTGACATAACTCAATTTCACCGGAAGTGATACCACCGGAAGTACTAACATCGAAACCGGAAGTGATAAAAAAAATTTGAATGTGTACTTTTATGTCTGTATGCTGGCGGTCTACACCACGCAAGTTTCAAGTTAATCCGTCCGATAACAACCGAAATAGTATTTTTAGATTAATTTCGGCAAAAAAAAGTATGCAACGAATTTTCGAAAATCGAAAATTTTCAACTGCTATCATTTGTCCTTTGTTACAAGAAATACGATGCAGAAAACCCGATCAAAATCGGTTGATAAACACGCCCTCTACAGTCCATTTTCCGTTTGTTGCAACGTTGCGAAATGTTGCTCAGAAAATTTTCGTTTTACATTTAAACTGTGATTAGCCACGAGTTACAAAACGCCATGAAGTCCGTTTTCCCGTACCTATTGCCGTTGCCGAGAAAACCGGCCTGCCGTGGACGAAAAAAAAAAAATCAATTCGAAAACAAAGCAGGGCGTTCACTTACGAATTAGAATTTTATATTTTAGAAGTGAATAGCGTCAAGTGAAGTGATATCGAAATTTCGAAAAATAGTTTTTGTTCGCAATAAAAGTCTCTATCTCTATGTAAGTTTTCAGATTGATCAAAATAGAATTGTAGAAGTTAGAAAAAAGGTTAAAAATACCTAAAATTGGCGCTAAAAAAGTCAGCGACTAAAGTCAAAATTGTCGATTTTTTCAATTGCTATCTTGTAGTCATTAGCGCAAAGTAATAAACAGTAAAGTTTGAGCAATATCAGATCAGTATTAAAGCTGATAAATGGAAAAAATCGAAAAAAAGCCATTGGCCACCGCTCATTGCCAGTTGGTCAAAATGGTGCCAATTTACATTTAACAAATAAAGGACCACTATTTTGACTAGCAAACAGTAACAGACAGTCTGTAGCATGTTCCCTTCTTAGAAAACAAGCGAGGGTGAAATTCGAATAAAAAAAAAAAAATAGAACTGTTCCAATAACAGTACTGATGCAGGGCGGGTTACGACATTCAGGTACATACGAAGATGGTCTATTGCAATTACATTGATGTAAATACTTTTCTTCATCTCTAAATTCAAATATCCAAAAGTGCCTAGAGTTTAATGTATATTGACTAGGAATAGAAGAATGTTTGTCAATTAATAAAGACCAAATTTCATGAAATACGGGTAAGAAATAAGAAAATTGGTAATGCGCATGCATACAACAAAAATTGGTTATTTCCATTGAATTTATAATTGGATTATACACATACATAGCAAGTTTGATTAAATTCGGATAAGAAGTAAGAAAGTTTGTAATGCGCATGCGCACAACAAAAATTCAATATTTCCATCAAATTTAGAATTGGATTGCACACATACATACCAAGTTTGGTGAAATTCGGATAAGAAATAAGGAAGTTGGCAATGCGCATGCGCACTACTCAAATTTGATAATTCCATCAAATTTAGAATTTGATTATACACATACATACCAAGTTTCATGAAAATCGGTTTAAGAAACGAGAAAGTTGGCAATGTGCATGCGCACTACTCAAATTCGATAAATCCATCAAATTTAGAATTTGATTATACACATACATACCAAGTTTGATGAAAGTCGGATAGTAAATAAGAAAGTTGGCAATGCGCATGCGCACTACGCAAATTTGATTATTCCATTAAATTTAGAATTTGATTATACACATACATACCAAGTTTGATGAAAGTCGGATATTAAATAAGAAAGTCGGTAATGTGCATGCGCACTACGCAAATTTGATAATTCCATTAAATTTAGAATTTGATTATACACATACATACCAAGTTTGATGAAAATCGGATAGTAAATAAGAAAGTTGGCAATGCGCATGCGCACTACGCAAATTCGATATATCCATCAAATTTACAATTAGATTATACAAATACAAACCAAGTTTGGTGAAATTTGGATAAAAAATAAGAAAGGAAATTAAGTGGGGGTATGCCTTTAA